AGCTTCAGGATCCTCAGCTCCGTCTTGTTGCCGCTGGATTTGATGATGTACCTGCCAGAGGCGTTCTCCAGGCGCTGCAGGGAGGAGGAATGGGGTGAAAACGGGGGTTTATGGGGTTGGGTCTTCACAAAAAATAAAATTAATACTCTGTGTGTTATGCCAGAAAGTTATGCTGTGTTGTGAAAAATGGTTGGCTCTTCAGAAAGATTATATATGTGCAATGTTAGAAATTTGGCTCTTCACAAATATTAATATTATATGTGTTATGTTAGAAAGTTATGCAATGTGAGAAAAGTGTATTTATATGATTGGCTCTTCACAAATATTCAAATTAATATTATACGGGCTATGTTAGAAAGTTAGGCTGTGTTGTGAAAAATGTTTGGCTCTTCAGAAAGATTATATATGTGCAATGTTAGAAATTTGGCTCTTCACAAATATTAATATTATATGTGTTATATATTAGAAAGTTATGCAATGTGAGAAAAGTGTATTTATATGATTGGCTCTTCACAAATATTCAAATTAATATTATACGGGCTATGTTAGAAAGTTATGTTGTGTTGTGAAAAATGGTTGGCTCTTCACAAAGATTAAAACTAATATTATATGCACTATGTTAGAAATTTGGCTCTTCACAAATATTAATATGATATGTGTTATATTAGAAAGTTATGCAATGTGAGAAAAGTGTATTTATATGATTGGCTCTTCACAAATATTCAAATTAATATTATACGGGCTATGTCAGAAAGTTATGCTGTGTTGTGAAAAATTATTGGCTCAAGTTAAGCTGTGTGAAAAATGTGTATTTTATGATTGGCTCTTCACAAAAAAGAAAGGAAGTTATGCTGTATTAATCTCTTTTAAGTAGTGTGGTAAATATACCACTACTTTAGGCTGTAGTATATTATTATATTATGCTATGTATACTCACATAGCATAATATTAAAATAGAAACTATGCTATGTAAGATTCTTGTTGTAACTAGCTCAATGTAAAAAATGTGTTTTATGATTGGCTCTTCACAAATATTAAAATTAATATTTTATGTGTTGTATTGGGAAGTTATGCAATGTGAAAAATGTGTATTTACATGACTGGCTCTTCACAAATATTAAAATAATTATTATTATATGTGTTATGTTAGAAAGTTATGCTGTATTAATTTTCTTAAGAAGTGTGTGTCCTTTTTGATGCTTATTTTGCCTAGAAAATGTCTGTAACTCTTTGTTCTTATTGTCTCGCATTGTCCTAATCCCAATTGTTCAAATTATTATTACTCTAATTATATTACTATTTTCATAACAATTTTATTACTATTAAACTTTTAAAATTTTAAAAACAGGTGATTGTCATTTTTCACAAGGAAGAAGAGGGTGATCTCAGGGTGATGGTTTCTCTCTGAGCCAGGTTTTATGAACTTTTAGAGAATTTATCACACTTGAGACAGCCCAGCCACCCCAAATGGCTTAAAATTAGGATGGCTTTTGAGGTAGTGCTGGAAACAGAAAAAAAGTTTAATAAAAGGCAAAATAACAAAGCTTTTACAGAAGAAAACTGAGCTAGAATACCCCACAAAAGCAATTATTTATTTTGTTCTCTTCCTTTTTCAGTGAATTACCTGGGTGAGACCTCTTGGCCTCTGTCCAATGGACAGCCCCAGGCCCAAAAGTTCCTATGAGGTGCCTTTATACAAAATTTGGAGAGAAATTTCTGGGCTTTTTGCCTTTTTTTAAGCATTCAAATAATAATTTAGTCACTCCATCAACAGGGAGCAGTGTTGAGGAACCCCTTTTTCTGGGGAGCACTGAAATTTGGAATAATTCTGGTGCCTCAAGGACTGGGCAGGAGGGGAGATGGAGAAAATAACAGCACTTACCCCGTGCCCACTTTTGTGCCAGGACCAGGTGGTGACAGCAGGGTAAGAGGGATTCTTGCAGGTCAGCACCCCTGTGTCCCCCTCGTTGCCATGCTCTGATTTCTTGTATGCTGTCACCTGGGGAGGAACTAGGCAAAAAAATGAAAAAAAAATTAAAATTTGGACATGACATTATAGAAATCACATATTTGTGCTTGCTGCAGCTCATCTCAACAGAATCAGCTACTCCAAAAGCCTCAGACAGGTTTGTTCCTCTGACTGGTTTGGCATTTTTTAATTTATTCAAATTGCTTCAGGAATGGCTCAAACAGATTTCTGCAGCAGGTTTTAAATCTCTATCCATTATTCCTGTGGGAACATGCCCATAAAGGGTGGTTTAATGCCAGATCTCAGGACTGGGAGCAGCTTTTTCAAGCTGAAAAGACAATTTCTGCTTTAAAATCACCTTTCAAGCAGAAATTCAGTTCCAAATATTTGTTCCAAATGCACCTTGTTGACCTTTCCAAGGCTTGTGAATGGATGGTGCTGTCAGATATATTTTAATT